TCACCTTCGACCTGTGTTGTCACCTTCGACCTGTACAGTCGCTACGAGGATATCATTATGCAAGATGGCGCTTCACTCGACGATGCAACCAGGGCGCGGATTATTGTGTCAAAGCTGGATGCAGCAGCCTATGCACGATTCACCAACCATATTCTGCCAAGGAAAGCTGCTATTCCCGCCGCTGAAACAGTGAAGATCCTGCAAGAGTTGTTCGGGCACAATTCATCTGTATTCGCACGTCGCTATGCCTACCTCAGGACTCAATGCAATGGTGAAAATCTACGAGACTATACTGGACTGGTGAATCGACGTCATGAAATGGCCGAGTTCAGTACAATTACGCCGGAACAGATGAAGTGCCTCGTTTGGATTTGTGGTCTAGCTGCTGCCGAATACGCTGATATTCGCACTCATGCTCTACGCAAATTAGAGACCAATCCAGATACTACACTCCGGGACCTAAGCACCGAGATCCAACAGCTATTGGATATTCGACGAGACGCCAAACTTCCGGGCAACCCACCGTCTGCAGAAGCACCACTGTCGGAAGTCAACGCAGTTAATTCCAAAAAGAGTCAAAGCAAGGAGCCGCCATCACCTTGCTTCCGCTGTGGAGGACAACACTGGGCCAAGGAATGCGAGTTTGTGGAGAAACGCTGCCACTCGTGCAACCGCGTCGGACACAAGAAAGGCTTCTGCAAGAATTTCAACAGACGGAACAGACGGAATTTTCCGAAGTCGAAGAAGAAGCACAGAGGGACGAATCAAGTTGTGGTCGTTGCATCCTCCACCAGCAACCCACTTTCGACAAACCGTATCTACCGAACCGTCAAGATCAATGGAGTCTCTACACGTATGCGTCTCGATACAGGAGCCGACATCACACTGCTGAGTTACAAGGACTGGATCGCAATGGGTCGTCCAAGACTGCTGCCGTCATTATTCAAGCTGAAAACTGCCAATAACAAGGATATCAACGTCAGAGGCTACTTCAAATGTACCTTCTCAATCGATGGTCACCAAGGAGAAGGAAACTGTCATGTCGCCGACACTGCTTCACTGCTAGGACTCGACTGGATCTCACAAGTCGAGCCACTCTTCCAAAACCTCACTGGAAACGCTCTTTGCAATGCCGTGTCTCCCGTCTCTGCGGAAGTCGCTCACCGTGCAACTCCAGAAGCAGTTCTCTGCTGTATTCGCACCAGGCCTGGGATGCTGCACAAAATCGAAGGCCTCTCTGAAACTCAAGCCGGATGCCAAGCCCGTCTTCCGGAAAGCCCGTCCCGTTCCCTACGCCGTTCAACCTCGCATCTCACAAGAAATCGACCGTCTAGTAGCTGCAAAAGTCCTGACGCCGGTCGATCACTCGGACTGGGCCGCTCCTGTCGTCGTCGTTCAAAAGAAGAATGGAACAATTCGGCTGTGTGCAGATTTTCCTACGGGCCTGAACGACGCCCTCATGTACCTTCAACGAAGCGTACCTTCAACTGAAAGTAGATGAAGATTCTCGACCGCTCCTCACAATCAATACACATCGCGGCCTCTATCGCCTCAACCGCTTACCCTTCGGAGTGAAGGCCGCCCCAGGAATCTTCCAGCAGCAGATGGATGCTCTTATTACTGGACTGGATGGCACTGCTGCATACCTGGATGATATCATCGTCACTGGCACTACTCTTGAAGAGCACAACTCTCGACTGGAAGCCATTTTCCGAAGAATTCATGACTATGGATTCCGCATTCGCCTGGAGAAGTGCTCACTGCTACAAACCGAAATCAACTACCTCGGTTTCGTGATTATGCAGAAGGACGTCGACCGGACCCTGCGAAGATCGAAGCAATTCAACGAATGCCTGCACCGAAAGACGTCGGCCAACTTCGAGCCTTCTTGGGCCTAGTCAACTTCTATGGAACGTTCGTCAATGGTCTGCACAACCTACGCGCCCCGCTGGACGCACTCACCAAAAAGGATGCCGTCTACTCATGGACCCCAGAGTGCCAGTCGTGCTTTGATCGCATCAAAGCAGTTCTCAGATCGGATCTATTACTCACACACTACGACGCTTCACTGCCACTCATCGTCGCAGCAGATGCCTCCAACTATGGTATGGAGCTGTTCTCTCCCACCGATTTCCGGACGGATCCGAAAAAGCAATCTACCATGCCAGCCGAGCCTTGACTCCAGCTCAGAAGAAATACAGCCAAATCGAAAAGGAGGCCCTTGCCCTGATTTTCGCTGTTCAGAAGTTCCATCGATTCGTACATGGACGTCATTTCACACTGAAGACAGACCATAAGCCGCTCATTGCGATATTCGGAAACAAGAAAGGAGTCCCGATTTACACAGCGAACCGCCTTCAACGATGGACTATTATACTACTGAAACAGGTACGACTTCAACATGGAGTACGTGCGGGCCAAGGATTTCGGTCATGCCCTTTCTCGTCTGATCGTCGAACAGTCACCTCAAGCGGAAGATAAAGTCATCGCATGCACATCGACGTCGGATGTCTTGCCCGAAGTAATCGACTACTGGCCCACACTTTCCGTCATCGTTCCATAATGTGCAGACCTGGACTACTGTCTGACTAGCGTTCTATCTCAGTCTCACTGAATTCGAATGGACGCTGGCCAAAGATGTTGTACCACAATTCACCGCTCTGGCAATTCTACAACGACGAGATTCCCTATCAACTACTTATGCCTGGTGACTTCAAGCCGTATTGTCATCCCGAAATCTCTCCAACGTCGAGTACTACAGGCGCTCCACAAAGACGATACCAGGCCAATACGAAGAATGCAGGTGCATACAAAAACAAACTTCGCAGCTATGTCATCGATGGACTCGGACATCGACAACCTCGTCAGGAATTGCACTTCTTGCGCAGCCGCCAAGAACCCTGTGAAGACTGAGCTCAGTCTGGGGCCCAAAGAGTCATACCAAGCCACGGAAACGAGTACGACGCGGGACTGCAGCCTCATGGAAGGGAAATTGCTACCTGTCGTGCGGGGCTCATTCTTCAAGTGGCCTGAGATATCCAATGAACTTCTATCTCAAATCGTGTGCTAACAATCAGGGACTATAAGAAGAATGTTCGACATGTCGGAAAAACCCGAAGGACGCTCAATACGGAACAATGGCAGCACAGTTCACGCTCCAGGGAATCTCGAGGAGTTCTGCGTTCTACGAGGAATGCAACACAGGCCCAACTCTGCGCTCCCCTCGCTTGTCATCACAAAGATGCAGGCCGAGTGTTTTGTGGATACATTCAAGAGAAGACTAAGCCTTATCTGAAGAGGGAGGACAAACATCGAGCATTCTAAACCTTTTCTGATGGATACCGTTCAACGCCCTGTATTTCGGAACCAGATCAGCTATCGGCGGCCGAAAACTTTCTGGGACGTCGACTGCGCACATAGCTTGGCCTGATGATGCCCACCTCCAACGAGGGCAGTGCACCGGTAGGAACGCCGCGAATGGAACGACCATTAACAGACATACATGAAGCACGAAACGTCGGCTAATTCAGATATAATGATGCGGTCTACGTTCAAGATTATCGAGAGCATAAAAGCACATGGGACGCATGCGCGTGTCGTACAACTTCCGGGCTAAATGGTCATTACCATGGTACGCTGTGGCAACATATTATATACATGTGATCGTTCACGCTCCTGTCGTTCGAGACTAACTGCTGGACTTTTCGATCTCGGCTCCATCCGATTGAACGTACCACTCGCCCCGTCGAACGACGCTCGACAATATTTGTTACGACCCCATTACATCGCAGTCTCTCGACCAGCACAACAATTCAATGCATGCTCTCGGCTAACCGTTCAGACCAACCACTACGATACGATTATCACGCAAATCGTTCACGCCTGGCAGCGACTCACAAGTGGGAGTCCCACGAGTAAATCTCATCGACTTTACTTAAGGGGGGGTTAAGAGATAACTATGTGTGGTGATAAGATTAGCTCCGTATATCAGTGCAGCTGTATTGCTCTTTTGTTCGACGCTCCTAACTTCGAGGGCGTCTGGGTAAATATGTTTCTGTCTTCTGCGTCTTTATTGGTATTTCTATAATAAATCTTCTACTCGAACCCACTACGCATCAATAAGCTGATATCATGCCAGGTATGTAATTAGCTTTGTGTTTACTGAAAGATGAACCACAAGATGATGCGCCCCCCCATCCTCATAGCACCCATTCCCTATACTACGAGTGTCATTTTTCCAAAAGTTACTGGGTGATGACATGCCCTACCCAACTCCACTTTGACCCGTCCTATCCAAGTTGTTCATCAGGTCGAGCAGAATTTCCGGACAATCAACGAAGCAAAAAACAAAGAACAAAATACAGCGAAGCGATATAGCGGGTGATACTTTGTAAATGAAGAGGTACGAGCATCAGCATCATTCGGACATTTGTGAGCGCCCGGGTTAGAATGTTGCAGGGCGTGATAGGGCGTTATAAGAGTACTTCTCTTGAAAATGCGCACGCCAGCGACTGCCTCAGGGGCGATACAACCTGCTGGGTACACGTCTTGATTTGTCGATTACCTTTGGCGATGCCAAAAGAATGCAAGAGCTGTGAAATGCCGGTGCGATCGTGAAGACAAGTAGTTTTTAGGTTTTGGAGTCTCAGTGGACATAGACCAACTGTACTATATCTTTCATAATTGAATACTTTAAAAAAGCCTAGTGTAGAGGGAAATAAGGCATCTCGTGTCTGAGGTTCTCGACAGTCTTGATGCATCCGCCTTTAGTTAAACATTCCGTCATCATTATATGGGCCATTCTTGATAGAAGATTTAATTTTCTACTCCACTTGTGATGGCGATAAGTTCATTAGAAACGTGCGCACAGGAGATTGGCTCAGTACACTGCTAAACTTTCATTATCAGCGGGAGTCCTTATGATATATTTGAGTCAGCGAAAATGATACTAAATGAATCTCAAAGCTGATAAGTAGTACCCATTGTGGATCGAGAGACAGATGGCAAACGGAAAGGCTTTAGACAAGGCTTTGAATTGACGTGTTTCAATTTGCGGATAATAGGGAGAGAATGCAAAATCATTTTATGGCTCGCGCATTTTCACACTTACTGAAAACCATATATGCTACGATGGACCTGATAGAAGTGTTTAGATAATTTTTTCTTGTTCATCTGACTCTCTAATGAGGATTTCATTCGCGTCTTTACTCAGTGTTCTTGAGACGAAATGAAAGATCAGGACTTTCCATATAGAAGACCTGATAGCGATCAGTCATTCGTCTGAGCAAATCATCGCCGATTCGCATAACGCGAGGCATCTTTATGAAAACAGGTGAACGATTCGCTCTAATATAATCGGCTATGTCCGTGTGTGTGTGTGTGTGTGTGTGTGTGTGTGTGTGTGTGTGTGTGTGTGTGTGTGTGTGTGTGTGTGTGTGTGTGTGTGTGTGTGTGTGTGTGTGTGTGTGTGTGTGTGTGTGTCTGTCACGAAATTCATAGCACCTGAAGAAGAACTTGGAGAGAATCGGGAGTCATGGTGGATGTGGTGTTTATTTGAGGATGGGAAAACACAGATGGCAGCCGCAATGAAACCTACGGTAAGCCCCGCCCACAGTGGGCGGGGCGTGCGTCAAAAGTTAGCGATGTCACTGAAAAAGTCATAACTCGGTTCCAGAGCAGTCCCGAGATGAGGAAACAGTGCAGTAGAAGTTAACAAAGGTCTGACTGAAACGGTGAAGACACACACGAAATAGGCGGGCGTAACTTGAGATGGGCGGCCGCATTCCGATGACCACTGAACAAAATCTCCATTATTTGCTACGAGGTCAGCTGGAGATTGAAAAAGTAGAATCAGGTTGGCATGAATTGGCACCCCAATGATAGGAGAGACTCGCACGCAGTGGGAGGCGTGCATTTGATGATATGGCTCGCGCTTCCAAATCAAGGTCGGTACTCGGTCCCGAAATGTTTAGAGAGCAGAAAAGTCCATGACGAAGAAGAATATCTTGCAAGAGTCCACCATGTTTGCGGCGTGCTGAGGCCCGCCCACAGTGGGCGGGGCGTGCATTTGAGCACGAGGAACAGTATAAAAAGCCGTAGTTTGGTCGCTCAATCAGCTGCTGAAGGACGACAAAATAGTGGATTATGGTTCCCGCCAAGCGATCAAATGTGAGAAATGTGAGAATGTGGCACTCCCGTTTGGGCGGAGCCTGCACCGAGGTGGGCGGCGCCAAATTCGGGAGGAATTCGCAAGAAATATGTCCAAGCAGCTCCAGTCACGGAAATGTAAAGTTAAAGGCAACAGTTCGGCAAACCGAAATTGCGGGCAAGGACTCAAATAGGGCAAAAAAGTGCTAATTATCTGATAAGCGGAGAAAAGCAGCAGTAAAAGCAGTCCGAAATGTTATAGATAAAGATAACATAGTGGCTACTAGCTAGTAGCTAACGCCGGTGAGGGTCGCATGGCTAAGGGTGTCCATTGGCCTAATTACGGCGAACTTCTAGCGGAGTTTCTGCGTTTTTATAGATTTTGAAAGTAGCGCGTCTCCAAAAGATCGCTATTCGGGGTTCGTCCGAACACACATTTGAGAAGGTTATAGCCTTATTTTATCGCGGAAATGTGCCTTTAAGATCAGCGAGGGGTTATTAGTGAAGCGCGAGGCATACGTTGTGGGCGGGGCGTGCGTCAAGGTGAGCGGGGCCAGCCTTAAAATTCCTCAAGCGGTTCCAGAGCACTCCAGGCACTCCAGACCTCTATGTGATACGGCCCGGCTTTGCGGGGCGTCGCGCTTACCTGCATTCGTATGATCAAATGCTCGACTAATACCCGGCTTTTCTCTCATCTGTCCACTTGATCAACGCTCCTTACCACCACTCCATACACCGTAATAGTGTTGAAAGGAGCAGGTATGATGCTATTGGTCAAAGAATGTTGACCACCTGTTCAGGTAAAAGAAAAGCCTGATACTAGGCGGCTAATGAAATGTGTGGAAGAAGGTAAGCGCGGCGGAGCCGCGCCTGCTCGACGAAGCCGTGCTGTATCTCAGAAGGAGGCGCGCCGGTGTCAGCCGGCGAAGCCGGCTGGTAAATCCTTAAGACATGTAGGATCAATACGCCTAGCAGGACAGAATGCGGCGCCCATGACCTAGCGCTGCGAGGTGCCTTTAAGAAATGTACCCTCATAGCATACCGCCAGGACCCCCGCCGCGCTCGCCTGCCCACAAGTGGACGACCGTGATGCTCGTATTGCTTCATTTGCGGAATACAGTATGAAGCGAAGGGAATGGTGTGAAGCGGCTGCGGTGCTGCATGGAAGCGCTGGGTTGTACCCTGAGCAGTTCCCTCAACCGCACTTCATATGTAATACAGTATATTTGAGCACGTACATGTCTACCGTAGCGGTTATTGGCACGATCGGCATTAATGAAACAGGGCTGTTGGGCGCCCATAGGCCTAAACCGAAGCGCCCTGGGCACTGCAGTTCTCAACTCTTGCGTATAGCACAGCCGCCGGGTGCCTACCAGGTCAACGTGCACGTTTGAGAGCTCTAGCCTTAATTTATTGCGGACCGCGCCTTCAAACGTTCAAAACAACACAATATGGTTCCATTTTTCGCCAAATCAGTTAGATGCATAGTAATGAAAAAGTGAATAAACCTACACTGAACAGCATGAAACTTATCATGGCGATCACGATGTAGTCGAATACAAGAGTTACGTCAAAATGACTGAAGTGAAATATAAGGCAATCCTGGAGAACCCTGCAAAGAGCTCAAGGAAATTGTTTACATTAAAAATAATATTTTGATAGCTTCAAAAAACGATATTGGTCGATACTTTGGCTACCTACTTGTTAGAACAATTATGTGAACCTCCACTCTTCCATACGATTTGTTGAATAGCGCTCAATAAAACCATCACACATACGACGGCTTCTGCCGCACCGAGAATTGCAGTACCTGAAAATTAACTAATTAGTAATATTTCATATGCCTAACATTTATCCTCATGACTCGTTGAAATGGTACATAGTTTTTTTTCTTGCCATGCAGGAATGGTTTTCTCAGCACAATTGCAGAAACGACGGGGAAATAACGAAGACAGCACGTCAATATGCTCTTCGTAACCCCTCAAGAAAGAAATACGGCCACAACTACAAGCTGATTCCTCCAGAGATGTAGCACTGCTTTCTTCCTTTTCTGCAACTTACTTGCCCTTCAGGACGTTTAGGAAAAAAAACTATAGAGTACTGGATGGCACAACGGGATCATTCGAGTCAACAGTCATTTGATTCATTCCTATGAGAACATAGTCGAAAAGTAAGCTCGATCAAGAAGCTCTTTCCGGTTCTTTTGAGTTGTCATGAAAAGTGGCAGTTTTGTTGCTGCAGTATACTACTTTATCGATATTCATGTTGTTGTTGTCACCGTATAGTAAGAAACTGAACCATTTTCCAAAACTAAAACAGAGATTTCTGGCCACAAGAACTAATTTCAGTTCTTGTAGCCTTTGCGGAAACTCAAGTGCAAAGCCCGCGATCACAGATTGTGGGTAATGGATCTGAAAATATAAAACAGCAAATTGCTCTTAGTATGCAGGAATGCACCACCGTTGGTTGGGGAATCAGGGGGGTCGTATTTGGCCGCCAGGAGAGGGGGGGGGTCGTAGTGAGTGCGGCAGCCAGTAACGAGCAGCGCAAATTGTCAATGTGCTGAGTCCTGTACAACGAAACTTGCTTTGTAGAGAACTCGGATATGCAAAAAAATAGTACAAAACTTTCATTCATCAAACTAATCCGAGATAACTGCAAATATTAATAAGCTCATCTCGTAGGTCCGTTGGTGACTAAACAGTACAAACAGTCTCTGGTTCGCTGCCAATGATATGGCGTGTCCGCGGTCACGCTTGGCGCTGAGCCAACCTGTTTTTTTCTCGACAAGCGACAGGACTACCATATCGTTCATATCAGACGAAACAGTTTTCAGGCAGTGTCTCCCTTTATGGAGTCAGTCGATTGCAGAGCAGCGAATCTGGCAGTGTTGACAGGGACACTGTTCCAGGTCCATAAAGGGGCGCTAAACGGTAGTTAACACAGATGCACAGGCTCGCCATGGACCTCCCTGAACCTTATAGACACATTTGCTCGCGTGAACAGACATTACGCACAAGTTGCACCATCCCATCACCTCTGCGCGGCCCTCAGTGCGCGGCGCATCCAAAGTTGACGTGATCGGCGCTAAACGAACCATATCCTGCTCCTGCTCCACCACAGGATACGTTCTACATGCGTTCCTGGCTATTCGAACACGCTCACTTGAAACGGTACACAGGAAACGGGTTTTTCGCGCAGCTGGGAGTGTTCCTCAAGAAATCCCCATAGCGAGATCTCATGAATCCCGAGAGCTTCAGAAACAGTTCAAGAGGTTTTTAGAAAGAGAAAATCTTCAAACACTCGAAACCATTCTCAGATTTGTGAAATGTTGAGTTACAAAAAAATATATTGATTCAAACCTGTTCGGTTGAACCACTCCCCAACGAATCCCTATGGCAGATTTCTCTGTGATTTTTGCGACGTTCATAAACGTTTTAGTACTTTTAGGAAGTGCAAACCTTCCTCTACACGAATACGGTCTCCTCTTCCCCACAGGTCCGCTTTTGAGGAAGTTATGGTCCTTCAAAGACACCCTACTTTGCTGAAAATTCTCGCTCCATGGCTAAAATTGCCGAACGATCTGCGGTCACATCTGCAATTACATGCGCTTCTGCTACCGTACTCCAATAATCGGGGTAATGCATTTTTACGGCGGTTTGTATAACTGTTACGTAGTGAGACAAGCCTAACTTTCTCTTTTCCTCGTCCTCAATCTTGGGAATAGACGTTGTTAACACTGTGGTCGCTGATGGCCGCTCCCAGAGAGGGAGTTCACGTCAGGTTAACGAATGCTCATTGAATTTAATCGCGATATATTGTTATTATTACCATGTGTGTTTCAAAACGGCCATCGAAGAAGTTCATCATACGAGTTTCTCATAATACGATTGTACCGTGTTTTGTTTGCAATCATCTCTGTATTGTTCTATTATGTCATGACTTCAAGTCGTCCATTTAGTATGGGCACCTTCATACAAGTAGAATTTCATAGTGGGCGTTTCATAGTTTCATTTAAGGCGAAAAAAACCGAACGGCAAAAAAAGGGGGGGGGTCGTACCGAACCCCCAAAAAGGGGGGGGTCGTACAGGCTCGACCAAAATCCCCATCGAATGCTGTGCCGCTGGCTAATAGAGAAGAAAGCAGAAGAAATCATCCGAAATGTTCTAAAAAAACTCCATGCCCACCCCCCCCCCTGCACGTGCAATGAAAATAAGACGTGTTTGTGCGAATTTCCACTTTTGTTATCACAGGATATCAACTGTTTTGTCTTATCACCTCACCCTCACCATTTTGAATGGAAAGCTTTAACAGAGGGACTAGTTAGCAGCCAGCAGTATTGTGGTCTGCATGAGCCCAGCTTCAGCTTCTTCCGGAGCTCTTCGAAAATTTCACTTTTTGCATGCACACAGCCTCCACAGTTACCTAACGTCACTGCCTCCGTCACTGCCTTTATCGTTGGGTGAAGCCATTCACAATCGTCCTTGATGTTCATGACATCCTAACACACGCACGTGGTTCGGCCTGAAACGGCTGCTGATTCCCGTGATGAATAAAATCACGAGCGAGTTCCAGGACCCGCCACTCTGCTACTGGGAGACACCAGCCAATCAGCCTTTAGAACAACGTTGCTATGGTCCATGGTTCATTCCATGACTCAAACCTGGCAATGAGGACCACCGTGAAAACAAACGTCGGTTCAATTTATCTAAGGTTGAGATCTGCGTTCGTTCGCTGAACACACATTATCCGTTGATCCTATGCGAAACAAGTTCTAATGTTACGCTCCTTGAGCGGAGTGTTTTTCGCCCAACCCCTTCCCCCTTCCCACCACCTCAGTAGTACCGACTCATTCAGTATGGTGTGTCCGCAATAGTAATGACTCTAGTGTAAGTGTGCGGATATTCGCAGGGAAATTTTTTTGTGTGCATCAGGGCGGAAGAATTTTTCTGCTTGTTGATTTTTCCCATTTCACGCACGTCGCATACCCTTTATCTTCCGCTTAGTCGCTGGTGCGGCGAAACTATTAGTTCTGATAGTTAATCGAAGATGTGTACTTCTACCGACAAAATTTTAGAAAAGCTTAGTGAGATGGTTGGTCGGTTGTGAAAGGGGGTGGAGCTACACCAGGAAAAAAAAGCTCTTGGATAGATCTTAGATAGGAGCAAAAATTCCCCTTAGCGCCACGATATGCCTGGCTGCAGCTGCACCTCGTTTCACTGGAGGAACATTGAGCACGATAAGCTGAATAGTTCTCTGATCGCTGTGCTGCAAGAGGAAGATCAATCACTAGAAAAACAACGAAATAAATCTCTGCGAAGGTTCTTTCCTTCATTCAATTGATGAACTAGTGTGAGAAACTTAGATGAACGCCATCGTTGCTCGTTAACTGTTCTTTACCGCATCCAATGTTTAAATTGCATCTCAGGTGTGTTTTCGAACAAAGACAGACATTCTTGGGTACAGAGAGGACCATAGTTTTAAAGGTAAGAGATGATCAAGAGAAAGAGTGCGAAGCAACCTTATTCTGAGTTGTACGTGAGTTTATAAGAAGCTTACCGATTTTGATATGACAAATATCGCAACAGGTTCGATAACGATCCTTCACAGTATCCAGTTTTACTTCTGTGCCTTGCATTATCTGAAACGGATTTTTAGAAATTCACGTCTAGTTACACCGTTACGTAGTGGAAGGAGGTTCCAAAGCTCAAGAAAATCACAAAACAAAGGCTCAAACTATGATATTGAGTACTGCGAACCAGAGTGAAGCAGAGGGTTGGTTCAAGAAAAATGATAGTCTAGCATTCAAAGAATTCCTTCAGTGACCAGAGAACATAGTTTGAAGGGTAGTAGGGTGAATGCGCCTAGTGAGGACGGAAACCGGGCCCATGGGGACGCGATGTGTTGCGCCTGTTTTGTAATGAATGGCTCGCTAAAACGACTGAGCAAGTGCATACATCCTTTGCGCTCGTCCCTACCGTGACCGCGGGTGCACCTTCGAATGGTCGCGTAACCAGCCACGCCATGGGGCGCATGGCTTTGTCTTGCCGGAAATAGCTTAGACTTCCTTTTGAAGGTTGGATTTTTTCCGATGGAATGTGCGAAGTTACCAGCATGGAAACCAAAATTACTACGAGAATCTTCCAAGTAAGTTGTGTGGGTCAAAGTCGCCACATTCATTTCGCTAGTTGCCCTATGGACTCCTGTAGCAAGCACCAGTCAATGCGTTAGTCTGGTTAGTGTGCAGGATG